GTGGCTGACCTGCTCTGCCACCTGAGCTACAGACACCCACCTTTTTACATGTTTACAGCACTTTTATTCCATGCACGTACGCTCTTATCAATAAATAGTTATACAGAAGAAAAACGACCCCTGGAACCTGACATCTATCCAAGGCCATGCTATCTCACAGATATGGTTTGATAAGCATATTTATAACATTATAACATTTATGGCTTTAAATGTTAGCAGTTTAGTGCATGCTGGTTATCAATGAAGGTCAAGACAGGAGATGTAGCGTTTTTATTCTTGTTGTCCTCCATAGCTGTGACAGGGTTAGGGTTGGGTTAGTTAGTTAGTTAGCTAATGCTGTTTCAATCAGTACTGTCCACATGTGCGCTGACCATGTGCTCTCTGTGTTGCAGGGACTGGTATGATGGTGCAGAAGGATGCCTCCTCCACACTGTCCTGTCCCCACGCCCACCTCCTCTCAGGCCTGGCTCTGCTCATTTTCGCGGTGGTGTCGGGCCTGTGATCTCGGCCAGTCTGAACTTTTTCTTATGGGTGGCTTGAAACTAATGCTCTCCTGTATGGATAGGTGGGTGTGGGTCCAGGGATGGGAAACACGGGGAGTCGCTTTTAATAATGACGAGGATCTTTTTAAAATGTCTGCAGGAGGTATCATGTTTGTGCACTGCTCTCAGTATAAACCATGCCTTATTGGGACATCTGTGGCTGACGCGCCACATTCATGTGTCCCTGAAACTGTAGTTGGCAGGACTTCAGCTGTAAATGTAATAATAGAGTGGTGGAGGTCTGCGTGTTCACACTGAGGGCTGCTCACTGAGTCTTTTGGGTTCCCGGTGATGTTAGAGCATTTTTCACTTTACAAACTGAATGTGATGAAAAACCAGAGAGGCTAAAACTGGCAGGTGGCTAATTAGAGACAGAACAACTCTTTCGTCTCATGTGTGAATCACAAAGTGCTTCTCTTGTTGCTCACAGTGTGAACGCAGAATAAACCGAGGCTCTAAAGAACTGCTAACTGTTGTTTCCAGCTACTGTCTCTGCTTGTTTCACGTCTACGTGATTATTATACTGTTTGATGTTTGTTTCATTTCAGGGAATTGAAATTTGATTGTATTTAATTCGTTTAATTCGTTTAATTTGTTGATGTTTTTTTGTTTTTTCTGCTTCTTTGAATCATTTTGACAGGAATGTAAAGATACTTGTTTGTTGTTTCTTGGGTTCACTGTCAGTGTCTCTTGTGCTGATAGAGATGAAAAGGCCCGAGCAGCAGATGAAGTCCGATCACCAACGTTATCAGCAGTTAACTGTCCTCATTGTAACCCCGTTATCAGCTCTTATGTAACACTTCACATTTTACAGGAAACATGTGTCATTTTTATCTACAGCTTGAGAGTTAAGATCAGACATCACGTGTTAAAAACTGCTGTTTTATTATTTTGTTGTTGATGTACTCAGAACTTGATTTGGTTTGAATGGTAGCTGCTGCTTTGGTCTTTGGAACGACAGCAATGCATTGTTTTGGTTTTCAATGCTTCAAACTGAGTTTTTACTGGACTCTGTTGTTGTTTTACATCTGTACCAAATGTCATTGCTAATGCATGCAGCGCTTAATATGCTGTTCATTGTTAATACAGTTTGTTCCTAAGTCAGTAAGTGAGACGTCACACTGGTGGGTTTTTAATGTCTTTATATTCCTGCGTTACATCAGTCACACTAATGCTGAATCATCGCCATCACTTCCCCCTAATCCTAACCATATATAGTAGTATTGTAGGGTTCGTTTTCTAACATCATTTTATTGTAATATCCACAAATAATCTGTTAAAGACATAAATCCCCTTTTAGCCACATCACTGTTAATAATCTGCTCAGAATAATCATGGAAATAGTTCTGCTGTCCTTACATAGGATAATAATCAGTACATGACTGATAGCATGACAGACACTGAACATATACAAAAGGCTTAATAAGAGAAACTGATGCTAATGAGAGGAGGAAGCCTCAGACAGGGAGAGTGAGTATGAGTCACTAGCTTTTCTCTTTGCTGGTGTCTGATGGCACTAAGCTGGTTGTCAAAGGCAGGAAGGAGGATTAATTAACTATGGAATAAAAACGGATAAAAAATAAAAGACTGATGGACTGAATAGACTTCCATACGAAATACTCGTGCAGATATGTGCGAGCCATGCTGAGTGTACCGCCCTGCTAAAGCAGTGTTGGGGGTGAGCCTCGCCATCCAGGCCCAGCCAATAAGTCCCTGAGCCCCTCAGCTGAAACCTGAAAATACACGTCTACTACAACTTACACAGATTAATATACGTTGGAAATAAAAACCTAAACACCCTAATGCTGATAAGCTATGCAGCGCAACTAGAGATCAATATTGGATGGAGCAGCTTTGGAGCCGTCATGATGCCCAACATGACTGAGGAGGACGCTGAGCAGGAGGGCTGGAGGTCAGACTTTTGGGAAATAACGTCTCTTTGGACCTGAAGTTATTAATGCAGATAGTTTGAACCCTGACTGAAAGAGCAAAACAAATGGGAAAGTGCTGGGGATATGTTGATTGCTCCCAGTTAACTGTCCACTTCTGCGTCCAGGGAGGAACGTGTCCTGGTGCTTTGCCTCTACGACCTAAGAAGATGTTATCACTGCACTTTTAGATTTAGGCTAGTTTCCCCGAGAGTGAACTACGAGCAAATGGCTGCAAATATAC